TTGCTACCAATATGCCCTATCAGGTCAACCTCCACTTGGTTCCCCTTGGAAACCATCGTGAAAAATTCTCGTTGAATTCGTCACGATGGGCTAACTGACCTGTTTCATCCTGACCTATCATCCTTCACTGGTGCCCCGCCGGTGTTTACCGATAGCGCGGGTGGGGCTACTATTTCATTATCACCTATAAAAAAAAACCGCAAATTTGCAGTCATCTGTACTAATAACCATAAATTTTCAAACAAAACCACTTTTAAACAGCTGTTCGGTCAAAAATACTTTGACCGATTTTGCTAGTCAATAATACTTTTAACTTGTTAAGAGTATTGACTGTAACATATACAATTCTTATAATTACGCCAGCGTTTTATTAAAGGTAACGAACCGTCTAAGATTTCAAATCCAATAATTTATTGAATGGACTTACCAAGTTTTATGATTACGTCTTACGACTTATCAAGTTTCACAGTACCCATTTAGACTTTGTACGTACACAATTCCACTGCGGAGCCATTTGAACGGTGACAACGTGTCTTTTATATAATGAATTTTCACTCATCCAAGTTTATAAATAGGTACACAATTCGAAATATTTATTACATAACTAAATAGATAGAAAGGAACTTTATTTAGAAGAAATATGCGACTACACCCACACAGGGCTTAAAAAAAATTATTAAGAATAATAATAACGAAACTGCACTCAAACTATTTACATATTTTTTTTATACCACTGAGGTGGCAAACAAGCATACGGCCCACCTGATGGTAAGCGGTTACCGTAGCCTATGAACGCCTGCAATACCAGAGGTATTACGCGCGCGTTGCCGACACTGAAGAAACCTCTTTACCCCCTTTTGAAGAACACCATGCTGTAGTCTCTTGAAAAAACCTCGGCAGGGAGCTCATTTTACACCTGTTCGTGGGAGAAAGCATCTCTGAAACCGCGTTGTACGCGACCATTTAGGCTGTAAGGTATGAGGGTGAACTCCCTGCCGATGGCGAGCCGTACGATGATAGAAAGTGGCCGTAGGCATCATATTGAATAATTTCTCTGAGCACAATCCGTTGTATAAGCGGTAGAACACGCAGAGTGAGGCAAAATCTCTCCTAAAACTTAAGGGTTCGATACCGCTTGCAAGCATGGGATCATCGACAATTATCATAGCTCGTCGTTGCACTGAGTCGAAGGGTTCAAGCTGGTATCTAGGTGCTCCCGCCCATAAGTGACAGCAATACTCCATATGAGGCCGGATTTGCGATTTGTAAAGCATTAATCGCTGATCCGGTGTGAAGTAATGCTTCGCTCTATTAAGCACACCGAGTTTTTTGGATGCCAGATTATCTACACTAATATTATAAAGAGGAAACATTTGTTTTTTTGTTTGTAACGAATAGGCTCCGAAACTACTGGACGGATTACAAAAATTCTTTCACCAATCGATAGCTACATCCATTGTGAGTGCCATAGGCTATATATTATATCTATATGTTATATTTACCGAACTGTGACCATTTATGTCGAGCAAGTCGGAAGAAAAATTGTATAAAATTCGCTTATCTTGCGCGCACTGATTAAATAGTTGCTTATAATGATAAACAATGTTCTACGTTTTTAAAGTACTCATTGAGATCTACAAATAAGTCCGCGATAGCATATGTTTAACTATTACAGTTAGGTCACAATAATCACTTTTCTTTCTAAAATTACGAATAACCACGCTGGTCGCCGTCTGGATGGTATTTTCATACTCCAGTATTAATCCTTATCCAAATAAATCTATCGAGTTATTTCCAAAAATTGCACATTGCGATAACCAAGATCCACGCGAGCGAAGCCGCGGGCTAAAGCTAGTATATAAATAAAGAATATAAAATAAAAAATAAAAAACAATCCATATTATAACAGTTTCATCCAAAATGAGTGCGTGTATGCGTGCGTCGCAATACCTGTAAAATGAGATGCGTGCTCAGCATTTTGCTGTAGTCTCAGGGACACTACAGCGCTGATTTTCAGCACAAGCCTCGCCAACTCACGGGGTCCTAATAATAACTCCCTAATAATTCCCTTCTTTTAGAAAATTAAAATAAGAAAAAATTTAAAAGAAAGGAATTTTTTTCTAAGACCCAAGCGCAGGCGTTACCATTAGGTGTGATTAATATAATCATTGTCGTTCATATCAGCCTTTAACTGTCCACTGCTTAACATAAGTCTCCCCTTAGCGGGTTTTGCCAGTAGTTGCCACGCTTGGCAGGCAAATTGCCAACTGCAGTTAGGCCAGCGTATACCGTTAGCGCAAGCTGGGTGACCATTCCATTACCATCCATCGAAAAAAAAAACCGCAGTTAGGCTTTCGCGATGTTTTAAGAGAGACGCTGCTTCCTTCGCCTTTTCTTAATCGTTTACGGAAGAATCCAATCGAAATTAATATAGATCCCTGACAGGTAGGAGCAATATCGGAATGGGTAATGACCTTTTTCCGCCACCACTGTACAAAAGAACCCAATATATAGACATTGGAGCGTTACCAATATTAATCATGCCTAATTACTATTCCATAATCATTAATCATCCAATAAAAAAAAAGTAAACGCAAGAAATCATCAGCCGAGTGTGTGGTGACACAGTATATAATATACTGCTCCACCACACTCTTCGAGTTAACCTATAAACCTCAAAAGTCGTGAGTTCAATCATGTTCAGACATCAGTACATCTGGCCAACACCAAAATCCTCATATCAACTAATTCTCCAAGAATTTGCTAACAATATATCCGGCCAGATCGACCTCCTTACGGTTCTCCCTGGAAACTATCATGGTTAATTACTTGTGAATTCGTCATGATGGGCTAACTGGCCTGTTCTCATTGTCATCGATCACCCTTCATTGGTGCTCCGCCAGCGTATCCCGTTAGCGCAGGCGGGGTTACCATTCCATTATCATCCATTAAAAAAAAAACAACTCTCCGATAATAGGAAACATCGATAAAGCAAATTAATTCAAAAACGACGGTAAGCTCGCCCCCTGTCACGTGATCAGCGTGAATTCGTCCAGTGCTACCTTCACTACAACGGCATCAATCAATAAATGCATCTGTCTACCCCATTACAAGTTATAGTCATTAGTATATGTGTATAAATATGCGTAAAATATAAATAGAGTACAAGGACCTATTATTCCATATTGATGCTTCCAAGAATCACAAACAAGCGATTGCTTTTAAGATATAATACGGTAACTAATATTAGCATTTTTTTTTTTCTATTTCTGTCTCCTCACTTATTTTACGCATGTTTTTTTTTAATGGATGATAATGGAATGGTAACTCCGCCTGTACTAACAACGGTATACGCTGGCGGAGCACCAGTAAGGAATGATAAGTAAACATTAAAGAGCAGGTCAGTTTTGATGGGTGAAAATGGTATGGCAACCCCGCCTGCGCTAACGGGATACGCTGGCGGAGCACCAGTGAAGGGTGATAGATGAGAATGAAAACAGGCCAGTTAGCCCATCATGATGAATTCATCAGAAATTAATCATGATAGTTTCCAGGGGGGACCGCGAGGAGGTCGACCTGGTTGGGTATATTGCTAGCAATGGGATTCTCAGTCTCCATTAGTAACAATCCCTTTCCCCCCGAGCAGGTCAGTTAGCCCTTCGTGATAAACACACCTGGAATTCATCACGATGGTTTCCAGGGGAGACCACGTGATCGATCTGACGGGAATATATTGCTAGCAACGGGACTGGTAGTTCGCATTACTAACAATCCCTCCCCCTCACATTTTACGCATGTTAATAAGTCGTATCATGTCCACTGTATATATTCCAGTTCCAGAAATTAAAAATAAAATAATAAAATTAAAAAAGCTGCTTCTATTATAGTCAGTTATTATGTTATATTAGTTTTTCCATACTAATTAAAACAGCCGTAAAACAATATGGAAGTTGGAACCATTAATTTCAAATTTAATAATTAAAATCTATTCAGAGTTTGTGAAGATATCATAATGTATTATATTAATCATACTCCTTAGTAAAACTTTGATGATTTTATTTCACAAAAATATAATAGCTAAGTCAATATAAAGACTGAGGTAACACCAACAGATCAGTCCAAATTCTTCTAATGAATTCACCAGAGGGAGACTTTGTACAAAAGTCGATTGCTTGGGTACCTCTGTCCATTCGTGTTTCAACCGTGAAGCAGCTGTGTTTGCATGGCTGTGTTTCGGTTTGAAGGGTGGGATATGGCGTGAATTTACAGGGTACAGAATAACACCTGAGTCCTCAGGAAGTGCAACGCATTGGGGGTATCATGGGCGAAACAGTATACTCTGTTATGTCCATGGTACTGCTCATGTCTATAGGCGACTGTTACCATTTTCCAACAGGTGGGCCGTCGGCTTGTTTGCCATTCTAAGTTGTATAAAAAAAAAGGATATATTGCGTCACATTAAAATCTTAGATTACAAGTATATAGAGTGACCCCTTACATGTGTGCGTGAAGGTTACCATAATGTACATTTACTACTCATAGTATGGGAGAAATTATATTAAAAGTTTAAGTGAAAGAATAACCGAATAGAGCATAATGATTCGAACCGATGCTTATCTTTACTTATTACTTTGACTTATATCCCAATATAGACTTATAATATTTTTCGTTTTAAAACTATTCAAAATTAACCTCTAGGAATATATGAATATTTACATATATAAAATTAGAAAATATAGATCACGATTCAAATTTAAAAAATCAACTTAGTCTGGGAATTTTTTAATTTAATTTCTTGCAACAATGAAGAAAATGGCACCTTAAAAAAATGTGTCAAAATTAATCTGTCAAATGTCAGTTTAGCTGACACGTTTTTGACTGAATCTGAGGATAAAACAAAAAAAAGTACAAAGTTAAAATAAGAACCTCGTCCTGTTCGAAATCGTTTAAAAATAGAACGGCATTCTAAGAAACTGAACAAGCATTTACGTGGCACTTACCTTTGAAAGAGGCCATATTTGTGTTCCCGGCGCGCGTCCTCTGTTCTCATTTATTAAATTACTCTAATATATCAACTCTCGTTAATTACAATACCGGCGCATTCCCTGCCAACTGTACGTAGACGATCCTGATGCGTTTACCTGGAACATTTGAATATTGGGTTAATCGTTGAAAGTCTTTATCTCTGAAGTTTAAATAGGTAAAAAGTTTATACTGCTATATATATATATATATATATATATATATATATATAGAGAGAGAGAGAGAGAGAGAGAGTGAGAGTAAGAGAAGAAGTCCGGAAGTATTGCAGCGCTATCGGTATACACCGATGAGACATCAGTGGAAGATGATACGTGAGAATGAATGCAGGTCAGTTGGCTCACCATGATGAATTTGACAAAAATTAAACAAGATGGTTTCCAAAGGTAACCGCGTGGAGGTCGACCTGAGAGGGTATATTGCTAGCAATTGAACTATTAGACCCCATTACTAACAATCCCTTTCCCCCCCAGTAAATACAGTTACAAATTAAATAATGCTCGCCTGTATAGGTAACCTGGTACTAGCATACAAAACTATTCCTGTACAGAAGTGACATACATGAGTTAATATACTATTAAATATCTTAATTCAATTTAATTAAACCTATTTATTAATGAACTTGGACAATGAACCTTATTATATTTTTTGAGATGTTTATTACCCAACCGAGTTTAAACTAAATGAATTTAAATAAAACATAATACACAGACAGACTTTATGCTTGATTAAAACATAGAATATTATAAACTACCCGGATAAAACCGTGGTAATTGACTATATCGATACCAAGATACCGATACCGAGGTACAATCCAAATTTAAATCAATCACTAGTTATGTGCCAAATTGACAGCTGCCACAAAGATATCATAAAATAAAGTATGATGGGGCCAAAGATTTCGAAATAGGATGGGGCCTAATAAAAATTGATTGAACTCCTTATTCGTAAATGATTTAAAGACAAAAGTTAAAAACTCTTTGATCTAATAAATCCTTTTTAAACAATGACATTTTTAAGAGACCAATGTCGAGGGCCACAAAGTCGAGTCATCCAAAAAAAAAAGTACACAGAATAAGACAAAAAAATAGTACATTACTGCAGCGGCCAACAACTAAGGTATTGATGGACGAACGTACAAATGTGGGTCGAGGCATAGCCGAGGCACACATACGTGAGTCCAGATAAATTACTATGTAAACATGAGTTTAATTTATCTGGCCGCAAAACACGACAGATATGGATTTTCATACAACTTTTACCGGCCGCTGCCCGCATGTATCTGGCCAGTACGGCAATTTTGATTTATCTCTAAGAAGATTGTAAAATAATGCTTATATTTCCAAGCATGATTGAAAAAAAAAAAATTTATGATCTTGATCAGATTTTCGTGTTTTGCTTATAATAGCCTCTCTTTCTATTGCTGTCATTGAGTGTCATGTTAATTAGGATAACAGTTAGCAGGTATTGCTTTTAATCTATGACGGAGTTTCTCAGTTCTTCTAATTGTTTTTTAAGTATTATGCGATTTTTACATTGAATAGCATTAATTCCCGAATTTGCACGAAGCAAACTTTACCTGTACGCGATTCCACGTTCTGAATTAAAATATTTTTAATCAATTGTGCCGATAAAACACCTAGTCGTTTATAGGTATTTTGAGCAGAAAGAGAACAGTGGATATTAAAAATATTCTTCATCTATGGTATTTTGTAACAATTGAAGTCTCTGCTTTTAGTTTTTTTTTTTTTTTTTCAAACATGAACTTAATCCTAATATAAGTCTTAAAGTTTATTTTTGTCATTGGCTAAATGTGAAGACTAAGCCAATAAAAAATGTAAGTTTATTTATTATTTACCACTTAGCACTTTTACGACTTAAACAGACGCCATAAAATTTAGCACATATACAGTATTAGGGATGCAGAAAGACATAGTATCCCGGTTACATGAACAAAGTCGCAAGTTACGAGGAGTCAGTTTGTAAATACCTAATTAATGTAACGACATTGTATTATTATTATTTTTAGTAAAAATTATAAATAAATATAGCTAGCAAAATTGTTATCCTTCTGATTCTAAAAGTACTATGCCTTTAAAAAAGAAATAGTCTAATATAAACTCAGTAGGTACGTATTAAAATAATAGTAGGTTCGTTTATAAAAAAAATTACAGTTAAAAGTTTAGATTTAAAATATTATAATACCAGTCTTTCTAACGGAAATTAAGAACAAACAGAGCCAACAAAACTGTTATCTCTGCAATCTGTGAAGTGCGGCGCCTCTTCAAAAACTTTTATCAAAAAATATTTTGTGACAACAAGAATATCGTGTCGCGACGCGTCCGTCAAATAAGCGTTTGGAGCGAAATTAAATATTTGATCAGTGAAATTCACTCGGACCCTGTTTGTACTCTCTAGAATTCATTTCCTGAGCGCCGCCATTTTTATATTTTGCGTTCGGCATAGACAATATTATTTTTATTTTGTTAGGTTTGCAAAGTTCTAAATTTAAAAACTTTGCCAACAACCTCATGTTTTGCTTGGATAAATAGTTATTGCTTTACATAGTTGTGTGCTCGTTCTAAATTTAAATACTTTTAACTGGGTGTGTTTAAGGACAATTTTTAGATAGAGAATAGGACCTACTGTGCTTTCTCTATCTACATTATAGACTTCCTTTTATAATATACCTTACTAAGCATTATGATGAGATGCGTCAAAATTCACATAAGAAAGGAAATAGGAGGATAATGAGAAATAAATAATAAGTGCCGTGTGGTCCCGGCATAGAATGGGCCACTCCTTCTTTTCCCATAGGTATCGAAAAAGGCGATTAAGAGAACTTAATGGTCGAGAGATAGGCAGCAGCGCCCCTAACTGCGTTGCCAATCCGCCTGACAAGTGTGGCAATTAGGGGGGAAAGGGATTGTTAGCAATGGAGTTTGACAACCGCATTGCTAGCAATATGCCCTATTAGGTCGACATCCACGTGGTTCCCCCTGGAAACCATCGTGAACAATTCTTGATGAATTCGTCACGATGGGCTAACTGACCTACTTCATCCTCACCTATCATCCTTCACTAGTGCCCCGCCAGTGTATACTGATAACGCAGGTGGGGTTACCATTCCATTATCACCCATTAAAAAAAAGTATGGGCATTACTTACAAAATTTCAATGCATAAGCTATGTTTAGTTCTATGGAAGCCTATATTCAGCAGTGGACACTTAACGGCTGAAATGGTATGCTGTCAATTTAAAATATCGATTAAATTTCCAGTGATGAAGAAAAAGGTTAACCTTTTTTTTTTTATACAACTTTAATGGCAAACAAGCTAACGGACCACCTGATAGAAAGTGGTAACCGTCGCCTATAGATATGAGTAGTATCATGGACATAACAGAGTATACTGTTTCGCCCATGATACCCCCCATGCGTTGCCATTCCTAAGGACTCAGGTGTTATTCCTCTGTACCCTGTAAATTAATTACCATATCCCACCCTTCAAACCGAAACACGGTCATGCAAACACAACTGCTTTTCGGTTAAAACACGAATGCGACAGAGGTACCCAAGCAATCGACTTTTGTACAAAGTCTCCCTCTGGTATGTAGAACTACCCAATCAGAGATTAAAGTTAAATTTATGTATTCTTATTATGTTGATAGATTTAAAAATAACAATAGTCTAACAATAATCTAATTAAAATAGATTTGTAGAGGACTTTAGTTACTATGCATAAGGGGATTAGTAGTTATGATTGCACGTTAAAAAGTCAGTCAAGACAAAAGAATGTATAAGTGTAATTTATATTGTATTTAATATTAAAAATTATTAAAACTACGAAGGTGCCTTTTAAAAATCTAGATTGTCAACCATTATATGCTCGGCTACGACTATTTGTGTAATTGTATTAGAAACGAACAAAAAAATACAATACAATTTATTGTTCTGTCTGTCTGCGAGCCATTTCTTGCATAACGTTTAAACGTGTACAAATTATAAGAATTTGCTAAAAGGTTACCCTTGAAATATAAATAAAATTACAGCATTTTAGGATTCAGTACTAATTTTTTTTTTTTTTATACAACTTATAATGGCAAACAAGCTGACGGCCGACATGATGGAAAGTGGTAACCGTCACCTATAGACGTGAACAGTACCATGGACATAACAGATTATCGCCCATGATACTCCCCATGCGTTGCCACTCCTAAGGACTTAGGTGTTATTCCTCTGTACCCAGTAAATTCACGCCATATCCCACCCTTCAAACTGAAACACAGCCATGCAAACACAACTGCTTTACGGTTGAAACACGAATGGGACAGAGGTAACCAAGCAATCGACTTTTGTACAAAGTCTCCCTCTGGTTTTTGTTTGTTTTTTTTTTTTATTTTTATTGCGAACTAAGGTAACTTTCCTTTTCAACGAGAACTTATATTGTACTGCTCATGTCTATAGGCGACGGTTACCACTTTCCATCAGGTGGACCGTCAGCTTGTTTGGCATTCTAAGTTGTATCATTTTCAAAACAGAACAAGCATAAATATTATTATCCCTTAAGAACTACATCAATGTGCATAGCCAATCCATTTTCTTTTGTAAATCTATGGAATTTTTAAATATGGAATCCGACATAGTTGGCCTTTTTTTTTCACAATCGAACCATTAAAATGTCGTGCCTTTAATAAGAACAAGCAAGTCGTCGTCATAATTAAGTGAACATTAATTATATCACTACTTGAAACCTTTAAAGATTAAAATTTGCGACCGCCTTAAAGAAAACGTTGCTCCCTAATTAACGTAGATTTTTAATTAAGCTGAAACCCATAACGGGTGTGCTCTTAATTAAAAATAAACCAGTGTAACTCACATAGACGAATATTTCTCGTACACATCATTACCTACTTGTAACAAGTATTTCAAATTTACCTGCCCTGTTGCCAGGGCCAAATATAGGGTAGAGCGAGCCGGGCAATTACCCGGAGCGGAGAAACTGTGATTGGAAGTGGGCGCCTGATAAAAACAATGTCAGCACTCCGTCTATTCGCCCATCCCGCTCTATCAATCACATCGGGGCACGTTAATTTCTATCTA